ACCCAGGCTATTCTCATACAGGAATACTATACACCTACGCAAAATGTACAGCAGAACCTAACAAGAGAATTTCTGAATTTTTCTTGCTCTTTTACAATACCGCAGGCACTATACAGACACCGAGTAATGTATGAACATTTCTAGAAGAACTTTGCACGACAATTGTACATGATACAATGTATGACAACGACTATTGAACATAGTACAAAAAAGAAAAGGGTATAGAATGAAAATTAACATCCTAATTACTAAACATAAAGAGCTAATACAGTATACAATCAAGTGGGGCCAATCATAAGTTTCGGCATTTATTCTAATTTAAAAATTATTTTAATGTATTTACCTATTTTTGAATTGTAAGAGTTGTTACATGTATAACATATACGTGCGAAAGACGAAGTGAGCGGTACAGCAACTTACTTGATTCAACTTTTAAATGCATGCAAGATCCATATCCGTCCATGTTTGACGGCAATAACTGCATATGGAAAATTGGAATTTGAAAATTTCGCTTGCATCGACGCAACGGGGGTGCCTCTTTATGCTCAGCCATCTAATTGGGCATTACAGAAACATAAAGAGGTCTCATTTACGGGGAAAGAGCATTAACGTTTGAAAATGTAGGCAGCTAGACTGCTCAAAAATTGCCAAAAATCTTAGAATTACGTAAAAATCTTAGTTCTTCGTATTTGATTTGATTTGCCCCACTAATTCAAAACACCAGGACCTACATAATCTGTCTTAAGTTATACGGGGCAGGAATTTTGTAAAATTTGCATTTTACTCATTTCCATAAAGAAGACAAATCAGTCTATTACATTTGTGATTTCTGACATAAATAACCGTTATGTCATTAACCGAATAACCGAAATGATAAAACAATCGTACTGAAATCCAGTGGCATCTTGATGACTGGTGCATCTGCAGATCAAAGAACGCAGAATATCGTCCAATTATCCAGACCGTGTTTGATGTTTGACAGAAACATTTCGCTCAGCAGAAATGGATTCGAATTATACACAAGCTGTTGTATCTATTACAAAACGATCTTTCGTGGACAACATGAAACGTATATTGACAGAAATTTCAATAGTGCATCCTGGCTAGGGTTGTATTTGCAACGACGTACGAAACTTATGCAGACAAGCAATTTATGTGTTTTTTTCGGTGTCACTCTCACAAAATTTAAAGAAGCAGAATTATGACAAAATGTTGGCTGACTTGTTAACAGCGATAGAAAATGGGGTAGATTATCATTAGACTTGATAGAACTTTGTCTCGGTTTAACATTGCAAAACGTTAATTCGATCCAATCACCAGGCAACTCCGCCAATCAGAAATTCTGCTGAACAAAGCTGTTTTTCAGACGGTGTCTTGTCTCATGCTATCCCATAATATTCCCCTGGAGCCGTATCGAACGATTCATGAATACCTTCGCAGCTGCAGCACCATTGCAATATATTGAGCACGATATCAACATGAAGAATACTTGTGACCACAACGGGTCGAAACTATTTTAACTGTTCTCAAAGAGGCTTTGTCTATGCTTACAGCATAGTTCGTAAAACCTAGAAAACGTAGTCTTTGTGGTTAAGCGTTATCACAGCCCATAATACTGGTGAGATACCGTACGTATCTCTGGTTTCATATCGTCGCAACTGTGGTAAAAAGACAAATACAACATTTACGGGCCGCATAAAACTATAACAACCGGCGCTGACAGCTTTACAATGCGGCTGATGTCTTGATGTTATTAGGTGCAGAGGGGGAACGTACTCGTACGTACCAGGACCCAGATAGAACGTGATTAATCTGGCAGCGCGCTGACGCATGCAGAAAAATCATCTGCCTCCTACTCATTTGGGAACACATCACTAATTTACACCGATCTGTCTCCTGAGTAAATGCCTCATCAAAACCCATCGGTTGAAGTAAACAAATCACATAGCCATAATTTACCTTCAGTTGAAGTAAAAGCCATATTTACTTTATAAAAAACGTGGTTATTAAACGGGAGGGTAAAGAGTACAGATTAGCGTATATGGCGATGCAGAATCATGCTAACAAGTTGTAAGAAATTGCTGTTTTATAACTAAAACCCTAGACGGGGTGCTAGTTCATACCTGTGAGTGTTGGTCTTGGTAGGAAAAGTGGGAAGTTGCCTCTCCGTGGGCCGATTTACCGGTGAAGTCAAGACAATGGCATCTACTCGGCTTTTATTAATCAGTTTTCAATCAACCAATGAGGATTAAAGTCGACAGCACTGCGACAGCAACCTGTTACCGCATTGCGTATGTGAGGGAAGGTGCGGCGGCAGGTATTGGTATTGGGGGACCAATCGTTATTGCTACGAGGAGGTGGTGACTACAGGGACGGTTCGTTAACCGTTCCGGTCTGGGTTGTCAAAAAATCTATATTTATCTTCCCATGCAGCTGCTGAAGATTATTGATGTTGATAAAGCTTTCGAATTGCTTTCTTTGTTATGTATATTAGTCCTTGAAAAGCCGTAATTTCGTTGACACGCCCTCGTATAGAATAGGGTAAGGCACACGCCCTGTATAAGTGTATTCATATCATTATTGCCATCTAGGGCCTCGCAAAGCTAATAACACGAGCTAATAAATATTGCATCTTGCATATCTCCCCACTGACCCATTTTTCCGTTGTGTGCTTATAATTTTGAATGGAGATCGATGGCTTGCCCCCCCTCCTGCTACTACTGTAACTCTACCTAATGTCTACTGCAATATAAATTATACAAAATCTACAGGACTTCAAATAATAGACGAGGTACAAGGGCCGCTACTGCCGTCAACAATCATCAATTGTTATGGCTATTCTAATGGCAATGCTGCCTTAAAATCGATATTGTGAGACATAATGGCCTCAACTAAAAATCAAAGGATCAGGCATACATTAAGTTGCCTCGTCCTAATGTTATTCCGCATTTTTGCTCACTTCAGTCACAGGCCGTTATTTCTTGTCTCTGGTAGATGCTAATTTCTTAACTTAAAAATTTCTTAACTTGAAAATTAGTGAACGCCAGCGAAAACCATTATACACGATGACAAGGCATACATGAGCCTGCATACTTTGTGGGGTTGTGTGGCGTAGCGGCAGCGTGCTCGAGTCGGAACCAGGTCTCGGGTTCGAGTCCTGACATGCCACCGATTTTGTGCCCTTGTGAAATGCACCTTACACGACATTCCTCACTTTACTCAGGTGAAAATGAGTATTATCTTTCCTGTATTCGTCTTCTGCGTTGGTGGCGGCATAAAATAACTTGATATAAGTCTAGTCATGAAGTTTTGGGATATATAAAAAAGGCAAACTTTTTGACCTCTTGGCATATACAGGGAAGTTTACATTGGACTTACTACGACGTATTGTAAACCCTTACATGGTTTTATAATACAGTATTTTCACTGCGTTTGTCATTACCAAGTTATCAAAAATTTGAAACGTTCTAAATGCCACGTAAAAAATCCGGCAAATGATATCTTTTCAAAAGATCTTGTAGCTACCGTGTGTTCCCAAACATTGAAAATATGTCAGGTATCCTGTGAGAATTTTAAGTTGCTGATATTCATCCTATCAACGAACTATTACATCTCAGCTTAAATTTTAGTTAAAAAACTATGTTTATAAAAGAATGGTGCTTGTGTAGTTCCTTAGAATCACATGTGATGTCAACAATGTAAAACGAGCACCTTAAACAAACTGTGTTCCCCTGTGTTTACCAGTGTGTCCCCTATACCTACATATGTCAACTTGTCAACTGACAACACTGTGTCAGACTCATATGACAACAATACGGCACTCAGTAAATTTGTAGAACAGTTTAAAATGAAGACCAGAAACAGACAAGCGATATCATTCCATACACATCAGTTATGTGTATTATAAGTTGTAGTATTGTTACTAAAAGCCTGTGAAGTATAGGAAGCTCGGCAGTGACCGTATGGGACATGGTACTATTGTAGCCTCCATAGCATGCCAAAAACTTGGGGTTTTAGGGGGTCTTCAGGGTCTTTGGGAGCTTTTATGTGCTATTTTCTGATTCCATATAGACAGCATAGCCGGTCTGGTTGAATTACCCCCGTTTTTGAACTGGGCTAATCAGAAAACAGCCGAAGACCACCAAATTAAACCCCCGTTTCTATAAGCCTGCTACGGAGGCTAGTACTTTTGCGAAAGCCTTTTCCCTTTGTCCAGTGTATATCTGAATTCATGCGTGTCCTGCCTTCCCCAACTACCGACTACTGGTATAACCGGATCCCTAAAAAACCCCCTCCCCCTCCTCGAATTCCTCTTAACTGTTTTTAAGTAATTTTACGCTGGCTTGAACATGTCAAAGAAGTTTTGCATACTAGAAAACCTGGACGTTACACCTTCATACCGCAATGCAGGTAGTAAAAGACAGGCCGGAACATGACCCCACCCTTTCAACAAGGATGAACCCTTTAAATTATTGATGTACCACTAGTCCTGAAAACCTGGTTCTATTCCCTCAAGATTCATTACATAATATAAGCTCCAAACTAAAAAAGAGCAATCAACAGAGAATATAATTGTATTGGGTTTGCTCAAAGTGTTGTCACATTTTTTTACACGGTGAAGGTACAATGGCTTGCGGTTTTTTATTGCTTGCAGATCAGGGTGTGTTAAATGCAGCTGAAGCCTGAATGCAGGCTGAATACCGCGGCATTACTAAAGCACCACAATAACTGCAACCAAAGTGGAAAACGTTGTCTACTGGGGAGGGAGACGCGAAGGGTTTATCGGAAATCGATGCTCTGTGCTGCGGGCTGACTATAGGGGAAAGCCGTGGGACGATATATTTTCTTTTGACCCCCTTACAGCAATCCCCAATTCAACCAATCGCCAGGAATCCCCGCCTACAATGTAATCTTCTACCTGTTCCATCACCGTACAACTCGCAATGGTAGCAGCAGGCGTTATGTATGTACTAACGTTTAAAAAAAGGGAAACCACTTACCTAGCTTGTTTGGGGAGTTGCAGATAGGCGTTTTTTTCTCTCAGAAGCGGAGAAGTCGGCACGTGCTTGTAATGTTGTTGCGCGGTGGTTGTTGGTAAGGCGGCGGGGGGTTGGCCGTTGCCCGGTTTTTGGCGCGCGGTTGCTACAACTGACAGGTAAGCGTGCGGGGACCGCCACGGGTCAATCACGGGCGCTCACGTGACCATTGCAGCAGACGACACAAATTGTCGATCCCCACATCCACCCAATGAATCCGCGTTGGTCAAATCAGCACCTCCTGGGTTCCCCCCTGAAAATTGCCCCGTGCGCTCCTTTGGGAACCCTTCCGGCCGTGTATATTAACATAATCATGGCTGCATTGCGGGGTTTTTCCTACGATTGATATTAAGCCTCACACTCTGTCACTCCCAAATCCCTCGCGCGCTCAAGAAAATTTCAAACAACTTTACGACTCTATCAGATGAAGGAACCAATAACGTTTCAATCCTGCAGACGCAGCGGTATTCCTTCTTTTTTATTACGTGCCGCTACACTCTGATGCCAGCCATCAACGCGTATTCACTTACATCGTGAATTTTCCATCCCCCCAAAGGTTCAAGCTATCACACCTGACTTCCTCCAACTGCTTACCGCATATTAGACTCAGACACGCGGTAAGCTTAGCGATATTACATGCGCATACATCGCGTTTAAGCCCTGATGTTTAACGTGGCGATCCGTTGGAGAGCCGGGCGCCGTTTTGCCAGCGTTATTAATTCCGAGTTTCATTTGGGACGGCTCTGAGGACTCGACTGTTCAGCCAGGCCCCACAGTTATATTGATCGATGGTAGATTAAGGGTTATCTTGACTGCACAGTAAATCGCGATAGAACGTTCATAGCTGCGAGCGCAGCAAAATCGGCTCCCATTTCCCACAATAAAAGATAAAATGCGACAAAGAAGCAATTTGTATCCCCTGTCATATTGTGTAAGGGGTTTAATTTTATGGATAATATCAAGAATAGGAGGGCGGATGTGGTAGAATATGCCACTGCAGGTGTTCAATTCATCTTGAATTTTATCACTGAATGAAAATAACACGTATATACATTTATGCGCGCGTATATGTATGTGTATATCTATCTTTTTTTAAAGATATTCTCCCATTTTACACACCCACACACGTGCTTCTATGGTTGCAAACCACGCTTGGCAGAACATATATGTCGAATAACTGGGGCGAGAAACCATAATGGACAACCTGCCCCCCCCCTCCCTCATCATCCAGGTAAACCTACACAATGCCGCCCGCGGATACCGGTATATAAAACAGCGATCTAGCGGCTTACACGGTCAAAACGTTGCCGTACAGCCCCGTAGATTGGCGGAAAGCGTACCGCAGGCTCTGCCATTTTTTTCTCTCTCTCTCAGTCACCTGTTTCACGGGCTGCAAAATGACGGAGCCTATACCTTGGTACGGACCGACTCAAACAAAGGGTGATCGGCTAACATCCCCTGGGGGGAATGTACAAGCCATAGATCTGAATGGACTTAATGATAGATGCCAGCGTGTGCTGCAATGCGGCTAGGTGAGAAACAAATACCGCATTGCGGCAAACCTGCCTCATGAATATTCATGAGCTCGCCGCGCCCAGGTGCGTGGAAGTGGGAGTGGGGGAGAGACGTGGGGAGGGGGGAATTCTGTCACATCTTTTTTGTTTTAATAAAAGGACTTCTGTTATAGTATTTATCTGGAGAATTTGTTCTTAATAGCGGTTTGCGACGCTGAGGACGGTTTGCGGGTAGAACATACATTATGAAAAGCGGTAACGTTACCTGAGTTGCGTGCAATGCGGGGGGGGCGTGACGTTTGACTTCCATACGGGTCAATACACATGGTCCAAAACACCGGCTAAACTAGCAAATATATTTAATAATACACGTCTTTTATGCATTCGAACGCTGCAATATTAGCGGCTACGCTATAACATAAAAGCAGTTCTATTGAAGTACTATTTTTTCGAGATATGATTTTAGGATTATTGAAATTATGAACAAACTTTATGCATTATTAGTCTTAACAAAATGCTGTGTGTGCGACTAAAATTCCAGCGGCGAAATATGCTTAATTTCATATTTTTACTAAGTTGTATGATTTTAACGTTGACTAGATATTCAACACAGTGCACGAATGGTGTCGACATTTCGGTGAGGCAGTTTGATAACCCAGTTTTGCTGGAAGGGAAAGTCCATTAATAAACAATTGGGAGGGGGCGGTACAAGAGTGCCCCGGGACAGAGTTCTACCATAGCAATTAGCCTCCAAGCTGCAAGCAGACCCCGGTTGACGTTTGAAATTGCTGTCTTGACTGATCGTTTTCGGTGGGATTTTTAATACTGTAGTTTTTTTGCCTACCTGTCGTTTTCTGAGTATTTTTTTCTGAACGCTGTTGTGTTCTAACTTAGGCCACAGCAAGTGATTTTTATGGATGACATCAGCGCGCGCGTTAATTTTCGCCTGATTTTAGGGGAAAAAAAGAAATTTTGTTGCCTTCTGACAGTGGTCAACATGCCGCAAATGGGCAAAGATGTCTGTTACCATGCCAGCAGGTGGACGGCACATAACTATAAAGAGAGGAGACAAGAAAAGGCTCTGATTTAATGCTTTTTTTTTCTTACTTTGATGCAGTGATGTGTGCTGTTGGCTATGCATATGTGATGTTCCTGCTGAATCAGTACCATTTGTACATGATTGAGTAAAAATTTTACATGTAGGAACCTTGTTTTTTTTTGGCCCGCCTTGTTTTTTTTCTCCCGCTCGCATTAGATTTGGAGTCTGCGGATGATGTCAACCATATAATTTATGTGCTGTGTTACCCTGCCTTACAATGCGTTACCCGTTATCAAAATGCAACAATCAGAAAACGATCATGAAATAAACCAATCTTTCCCCAGATTAACAATCTGTCGTTTGATTTCTAGATCTCAATCGCCGTTTTTATGTACTATACTGTATTATGATATCATACACCTTTATCTTCCACTTTGATCTTCATTAATTTCTTTTGCCATGAAAGAAATATAACGGCCATAACCTATAAAGATGATTGAAAATGAGCACCATTTTATAATGGATTGTACACTATACAATGATAAGCGCCTATTGTAGTTCACCTTTCTTTCCACTTGTTCGACTGATTTCAATACGTTAGATCCTATAGAAAAATTGAATTACATTCTCAGGGGAGATATCCAATACAGTATTCAAATAGGAAAATACATTAAAGAATGTTTCAATCTTAGAGAATACATGTTAGAGAATAGTTAAACCTTAACTGTTATCACCGATATATATTCTGTACGTAATTTGCCGCATGCATATATTCTGTACGTAGGATGAAGTTATGCATACATGTATTTAACTTTGTTAGATATTTAGTTGTAGAGGACCATACAAAAGTCCCTGTACTTTTTGATGTGCCAATAAAGAATCTGTATCTAAACGAGAAAGACAAAAGGACGGTGTTTATCAAGAAACAGAAATCGATCATCTTCTCGATAACAAGAGGTCGTATTCAATAACATTTTTCATGGAGGTTATAAAAAGCACAGCAGCATTTGCCTACCTGTAAAGATTTATCTAGAATGTTTTACACTCACGTGACTATGACGTAACTGATTTCAGCCATGTTGTGTGGTTAAACATGCTGACAATCTGAAGATACACAGAAGATAAGATATACAAAGATAATTTAAGAGTACATTTTGAAATGTAATATGATAATCCAGTCACTGTTGGACGCCATCAAAATATACAAGCCAACCAGAGACGGTGCCCATCATGTCAAGAAAGTGTTGAAGATGAATATCATTTTCTTATGACTTGTCCAGTTTATACTATAACGTTAGATAGCCAAAATCTAATGAACACAAGTAAATCTAGTAAACCTTTGCCAAATACAAGCATAGACACTTTCAATCTACTTATGTCATGCCTCGACTCCATATCTATGTACCTAGGCCAATACGTATGTAACGCTTTGGAAAAGAGAGATAAAAGAATTGTGACAGACAGAAATGTTTCATGTACATCATGTCAATACGCCATTTACGTTGTATTTGTGTAGTTTTAGTTTCCAGGAATTGACTAGTATGATATGATTGTCAAGACCACATTGTTATCCTTGCCATACATTGTACCATGCACAACTGTCGAGCAATAAAGATCATTCATCCATTCATTCATTCTGTTTAGGGAGGAAAGACATTGATTGTAGATGGCGTATCGGTGTATACTGTGTTCAATGGCGACACCTGGCGGTTATTTTTAGAAGTTCAGGAAGACATCGACGAACTCAGGAGCTCTTGACGTCTGAGACCTTTTAACTTGGTAACCTGTGATTCATCTGAAAATATGGAAAGATAAAAGGGTTAACAATATATGCACACACTTGTCATCCAAATTGTATCAGAAAATAAAAGTCACAACGATCGGAGGATAAAAATATTATATTCTATATCGAAAGAGTAATTCAGAACATTGAAGGAAGTCATTGTGTCCAGATGTTTCCAGATGTTTCAAAAAGAGAGAAGAAATGGCAACTAACAGTAGATGAAAGGTAGTACAAAATGTGTATAGTATTGTTGTAATATTTAGACTCCTAGCACTTAGCGTTAGAATACAGCGTTCCAGTATGCAATGTTCATGTTTTTTTTATCCTCTTGATCACATTTGGTCACAGTTGTGCATATAGCCTAGCCTCTACCAGGCTTGGGGAGGCGGCTGGAAAGAGTAGAAATCGGCAAAATAGAGAGATAAGCATGCCAAGGGAGTTTGTCCGTTGAGAGAACATTTCGCCGCACCAGGCATGCTTATCTCTCTATTTGGCCGATTTCTACTCTTTCCAGTCGCCTCCCCAAGCCTGGTAGAGGCTACATTTAGTCCATCTGGGCAAGAACATGCAATAAAGATTCACTATCTTACTTCATGCTCTGGATGACACTGACGAACTCTGAGACGCTGATCTTCCCATCTCCGTCCTTGTCCGCCATCTTAACCATGGCCTTGATGGTCTGGTCGTCAGTGTTGAAGTTTTCTGCCATCGCCTTACGGAGTTCCTCCTCGTCGATGTACCCGCTCTTGTCCTATTGTGCAGGTGTTTATATCGTGTAAATATTTTTCAATGTGCAACTCTACTACCACAATTTCACTCCAAGATTGTGCAGTCGTTATCGTTTAAAAAAAAGATGTGCATTTTTTAACCCCACTCAGCTTTCTGTTGCAATGTTCGTAATTTTAGCAATAAACCATTTTTGATTGAGTGTTGTTTTAGTCCAATTTGTTTTTAGAAAACTTAGCGTAGCAGTTGGAAAAGGAGGCGGAGACAAGCACTGATACAACCTAGTATACAACATCAACCTAGCGGTGGATTGCTCATTCCTTGAAAAAGACTGGAGTTGTAAAGTCGAAAATTTGGGTGAGTCCAATTTCTTGTGTTGGATATTACAGTTTAAACTGGCTTCATACTATAAACATGTTTAAGTGAAATTGAACACACTACGACACAAAAAGCTGTCACTTAGTTATTGGTGGACAGCTAAATTAAAGGTGAGGTTGAACTCCAATAAACTCCAATAAAACGTAGGAAAAAGACTAACACGAATCCGAAAGTACAAAATGGTGTCACAACAATGACAGTACGTAGCATGCATAGTGATAGCAGTCATTGTTTAAGTGCATCGGTAGTGGAATGAACACTAACATATTTGCTATAAAAGAAATACATGTATATTCCGGGTGTGTATATGAAAATAATGTCATTTCTGTACGCTGTGATAAGTTAATGAAAACTGCGCAACAACACCCCTGATGTGGCGATATGTATGAAGACGTTTTTTACCTGATCGATAGCATTGAAGATATTGATAACCTCCTCTGGGTCCACTTCACCAAACGTCTTCAGATCGTTGACGAGTTTTTCGAACTCTTGAAAATCCAGTTTCCCGTTGCCATCTTCGTCATAGTGGCTCACAATTCCCTGAAAGTTCATATGGTGGTATTTCTCGATAAATTTAATATTTACCTAATTTGTGAAGTTTTCAATCCTTTACCATATAGAGCAATCCAACGTGGCAATATACTGTAATTATGTTTACCGAAGGAAATGTATTGTTTTTCTCTGTTTCTTCTTCTCCAAACAAATGAGGTCAATGACCTGAACCAGACGTCTGTTGCCATGGTAACTAGTGTTGGGTTACATCATGTTACAATTTCATAGCAGGAGGGATTTAGACTCCTGTCACTACATATACGAATGTGTTTGAGTAAGAATTAACAGAGCAGACCACATGCGAAGGCAAACATTATGCATTTGCTTTGCAAATGTTACCTATTCTTGAATGTTATAGAAAATCTTTTAAGTTTAAAAGATTGAAATTTACAAACTTTCAAAGACATAAGACTTCTCACTTGGATAAGATTATCAGTCGGTATGATAGCCAGATCTGTCAATGCAGATTTCAGCTCCTCTGTACTGATGTGACCATCTCCGTCCACATCGCACGCCTTGAAGACCGCTTCGGCTTCAGACATCTTCTTGGATCTGTGTTTTTATTAACAATGACAATTATTATCATGAAAGTTCATCTGTTGGTAGTAATCATAGTAAAATGTTGAACTTTATCCCAACACTCAGGTTAAACAGAGATCAAATTTTCAGCGACCACTGTCGCCTTCATCAGGATAATGAATGACCAATCACTTCGAAACGTAATCTCGCGAGAGCTACGGTTACAGACACGTGACCTCATTTACACGAGACTTTGATGACAATTATTATAAGGCCAATGGGCTTACATGTAATTTGAGAAATCCAAAGCTATTTCAGGGCAGTAAAACTGAATTTTTAAAGTCGATTTTTCTATGTTTTTCAATGTTGTCAATTGAATCAACTCTACCCCATAGCAAACTTATTTCTGTGAGGCTAAAATGCCATGTTGCGGACGGAAAATGGATGCTTGTTTCGTATAGTAGACTTGTTCTAGCTATTTATCGGTGGTACAGTACCAAAAGAATAAAGGGACTATGTCAAATTTCATGTATGAAATGATATCGACAATATGCTAAGAAATAGAAGTAACTGTCAGTATGATACCGATTTCCTCATCCATAATATTTTTTGGTTAATTTTGTCGCCCTCCTTTAGTAAATTGCACTGGATGCCTTTAAGATTAAGAAAGAAGCCCTTCCGATTGTCTAGTTGGGCCTACCATTGTCTCAGATTTTGGTACATTACCTGAGGCAAATTGAGATTCATCAGATACATTAACATCACCTCATTGGTTGTTACCCCGCCCGACGAGTCATACAGACAACAACGCATTTGTTCTGAACCTAGATTCGTCAGTGGACTTTTGTCTGACAGGATCATGGCATGCCTAAATGTTGAAATTTACTACTCTCCAAGCAGAGGTTGTGGTTCAATGATCGTTAGCTTTTTATATATGGCCGTTTTTTGTCGCTAATTCCATCGGTGGCCGGCGACCTTCTCTGGCTAATGGATACTGCCTGGTCAATTTGATACTGTCTTTTTGCCACTGAAAGGGATCTGCCTATAGATTAGAAACTTACACGTGTGCTCACTAATACAAGTGTTGAAGGAACACTGATCGTGTGAACTATGGAACAGACCTACCTTTGTACTAAGTTCTGGTGAGAAGACAGAAAATGTTTACCACGCCTGGCCGCTTCGAATTCAGCCCTGAGAATGAATAAACAATGGGCACAGTGAGGTTGTTGTACCTGTTTTGTCCCTGTGCCCCCCGCCCCCTTTTCACGCTTCCCATAATGCACCGTCTTTATACCTGCGGAAAACGGGCGTGCGATTTTACGACAATTTTTCTTACCGCGCGAAATCAGCTAAAATCTTGAGTGGGAGGACGATAAGACGCAGGAAATGCTCAGTTGTCCAGCAAATGTAGTAGGGATGCAAGTTAGACAGGCTTTTTGGGCACAAGTGAGGAATTCGAAAAAAATCCGGCCTTGAGAGTCAAGAAAGGCATCCACGCCACAGAGAACATGTATTGTATCAGGGACTTGCACTTGCATTGGTGTATACATTCACTGATGACAATCTGACAAAGAAACTCCGACCAAGGAGGTCAAAACCTCCCTGCTCTGACCCAGAACCTAAACGTAACAAGTCCAGCCTTTTACAGGCTACCATTGACCTTTGACACACCTAATTATCATATTTCCCATGCGACCTTGCGAATTGACGTCACAAGATCGTTTTCAAAGTCACGTCCACGACGCATCCTGGGCCACAGGTGTTAAGCTTTTTTTCGATTTCCTCTTATAATTATTAAGAAAGTGATAATACAGATATCTTAATAAACAACATAGCTAATGTCTAAACTGCAAAGAGAAACTGAGTAAACTTGGGTTCATCTTTAGATTGAGACATTATGACATTCATTGTCAAATCCAACGTCATAACCACAAACGGATGGTACAGCTGTTTCATAGTACCGATGCTACAGGCAATCAGTCGTTACTCTGGTTTCCCTTCAATTTACCACGTACAAATCTTTCGCCTTTTACTAAAGATTTCCGTGGAGGGGAACAGTCAATGAGTCTATAACTCAATTTTTCTCTGCCCTGCCTTGAGCGGGGCTCCCAACAAACCAAAGAAGTTACACGAAATAGGCTCGGATATACTCATATCCCGGCCGGTATCTTGCCGTATTCTTTAAGATTACGAGCAGTATACGCATCCGCTCGTATATGCTCGTATCTTTTTTTTAATTAGTATTTCAAAATACAAAAACATGTACAGACAAGACATGAACAAAGCAAAAAGTAATAACATAATGGTAACAGAGAAATAATCCACGGATCCAAAAATACAATCGAGATAAAACAAGGATAACAGCAGGGAAAATGCACGTATCTTTAAAGAATACGGCAAGATACCGGCCCGGATATAAGTGTATCCGAGTCTTTTTCGTGCAGTACCATATGCATGAACACACAAGCTTAGGAGCTAGCCATACAGTTTGGTAATGGGTACTAGCTGGCGTTGCAGGTAAAATCGGTCGGTTGTGGAAGAGAGGAAGTGAAACTCTACAAAATTCCGCTAGGCGTCGTGCTTGATATGGCGGTTCTTGCCATGTCAACGCTTCATTTTCATTCGCTCTTCCTTTCAAAACCTCGCATTTTCCATCGTGGACTGTAACTCGTTGCCACCAAGCACAATTGGGGTATGATCACTAGAGAGCTTTAAACAACTCCTGCGATTGAGTGTGACAAGTCGTTCGGTGTGATATAGCTAGCTGCCACCGCGTGCCTGCGAAGCTGGTGTGTTACGCCAAAGGCCGGCGGTTATACCGATACAGATACAGATAACTTACAAGTAATATGCCACGGAGGGAGTATACGCGACAAAACTTACCTCGACCAGCGCCCCCCCCCCAAAAAAAACTACTAGTAACGCCGTCGCCGCATAAGTCTGTGAAGGACGTTACTGGTATGTTATGAACGCGTCAGTATTCTAATATCCGCTACAAGTCTCTGATTATATATTCAATAACACTCTCATCTCGTAGCAATTTTCGGAAAGATCGAAAAGCATTTTTGTCTCTGATTGCATTATGTTATTCCAAGGAGGTCCTTGGTTATTTCACGTAGCACACGTTTGAAGCAAACCGTCAACCCTGGAGCTCAATCGACCAGGAATTTTCGTCTTTTCGGGTTCCACACAGTCAATGGTGAGATATAGTCTTTTTGCAAAATTTGATAAAATCTTGTCTCTAAAAGCTTAGATATGTTAATCTGTAAATTTTCATGTCTTGGAAGCAATTGCTAACGTTAACGTTTTCTTTTGTTGTTGTTGTTGTTGTTGTTGTTTTCACGTCCTTGAAATAATAATGCATTATTGGGTTCCCGCGTTATTATTAGTACGTTTACCAAAGGGGACATATTGTTTTTGCTCAGTTTCCTCAAGGAGGTTTAAAAAGGGTTTTTTTTAACTCCATGGTTTCCTCTTCTCCAAACACATAAGGTCAATGACCTGGGCCAGACGTCTGTCACCATGGTAACTAGTGTTGGGTTACATCATGTTGCAATTTTATAGCAGGAGGGATTTAGACTACTGTCTGACCATATATATGATGAATGTGTTGAGTAAGAATTAACAGATCAGACCATATGCGAAGGTAAACATGATGCATTTGCTTTGCAAATGTTACCTTTCTAATTAGATATATGACCGAAGAGAAGTTTTTACAGTCGAATGGCAAGAACAGTTAACACTTCCCTCTATTTACCATTCTTCAAAAGTGTCCTGAAACGTTGGCGTTCTTCTCTACGCTTTGTAGGTTGCCTCCAGCTAGCGCCAGACGTCCAGTCTAATCAGCCTGCGTATATTGCGTTGACGTGAGGGATAAAATTGTTTCTTGACAGAAAGCTACTTCCAAAACAATTGACGTGCGTCGAATAGACGTAACTGAGCAAGGGGTCAGAATGGTTCGCCGTGAAAATTCAGTCGTCGTATTATTATTTTCATATACCTGATTAGATTGAACACTTATTTCAACGATGTGACGCAACAATCCTTGATATTTGTCAAAACATATCAGGGTGTATATGCCTTTGATATGTCTGAGCTGCCATGCAGTGGTTATATCAGCGCATTCTCACAGTATAATTATAATCACACAGCTCGGGGAATAGAAATACCGGACGCTGGGAGTTGTGATCATTGCGACTGTGATTGTTTTTCTCCACAGCTCCTAACCTGGTATCCAGTCTATCGTGCGTTGCGCGGGTTTTCTTCGGGGCTGCAGGAGCTCTTCCCCGCCCGCCTCAGCTAGGTTCCCCGGTAGGTTTTTTCACGGCAGGAGTTTGATTAGGCCCACTACGATCTATTGTGGATCCAGATGCACTGGTGATCGGAAAGCTCCTACAAGGTAAATATTTCACCACATGTAGTAGTACTAGTAGTTGTTAATCTGAAATCTTATCTTTTAGAAACTTGGTAACGGCCTTTGTATTTGATTTGTTTCGCATTAGGCCAAAGCAAGTAATTTTTATGGCTGACATCAGCGTGCGCATTAATTTTCGCCTGATTTTGGAAGTTTATAGTGTCAAATGTGAAAAAATGTAGAAGTCTTGGTTTTTTTGCCTTGTTTTTTGCCCTGTCGCATTAGATTTGTAGTCAGTGGAGAATGTCATCCATAAAATTTACTTGCTGTGGCCTTAGCAAGTAGCAAGATTATGAGCCACACGCTAACTAAAGACTGTGGAGCCCGCAAACATTTTTGATGTATTTGTATATAGCTTTAATGTGTAGAAAAATGTGGTGCTGGTTGTTGCAATAGTTCAAACGATCCAGTATCAGATGTTGAGTTTTCCACTTTCCATTTCAAAATATGAGACACGGGCTAACTAAAGACTGTGGAGCCCGCAAACATTTTTGGTGTATTTGTATATAGATTTAATGTAAAGAAAAATGTGGTGCTTGATCATGTGTTGCAATAGTTCGAACGATGATATCAGATGTTGAGTTTTCCACTTTCCATTTCAAAATATGAGCCACACGCTAACTAAAGACTGTGGAGCCCGCAAACATTTTTGGTGTGTTTGTACTATATAGATTTAATGTAAAGAAAAATGTGGTGCTTGATCATGTGTTGCAATAGTTCAAACGATAATATCAGATGTTGAGTTTTCCACCTTCCATTTCAAAATATGAGACACACGCTAACTAAAGACTGTGGAGCCCGCAAACATTTTTGATGTATTTGTATATAGATTTAATGTAGAGGAAAATGTCGTGTTGGTTGTTGCAATAGTTCAAACGATGCAGTATCAGATGTTGAGTTTTCCACCTTCCATTTCAAAATATGAGCCACACGCTAACTAAAGACTGTGGAGCCCGCAAACATTTTTGGTGTATTTGTATATAGATTTAATGTAGAGGAAAATGTCGTGTTGGATGCTGCAATAGTTCAAACGATGCAGTATCAGCTTGTTGAGTTTTCCACCTTCCATTTCAAAATATGAGCCACACGCCAACTAAAGACTGTGGAGCCCGCAAACATTTTTGGTGTGTTTGTTATATAGATTTAATGTAAAGAAAAATGTGGTGCTTGATCATGTGTTGCAATAGTTCAAACGATGCAGTATCAGATGTTGAGTTTTCCACCTTCCATTTCAAAATATGAGCCACACGCTAACTAAAGACTGTGGAGCCCGCAAACATTTTTGATGTATTTGTATATAGATTTAATGTGGAGAAAAATGTAGTGCTGGTTGTTGCAATAGTTCAAACGATTCAATATCAGATGTTGCGTTTTCCACCTTCCATTTACTAAATGGCACGAAGTCACGATGTTTTCAGAGGGATTTTCTTTGCCCCTTAACATTTGCTATGGTAGACAGAAAGCAAATTCAGGGACAGGCAAAACACCTGCGATAACATGGGTTGGTATATATAAATGCTAACGCTATATGTAGCCAATAGTTCAAACCATATTTTGGGTTCCATATGGTCATTCTAGGGGACCTGGCCTATGGAAGAATGTGGGGTCGTTAGTATGTTATGTTTTAAATCATAACATAATCGGGAGATTTTCACCAGCATCCTGCCCGATACACGTACGTGAAGGTATTATTGTAAATATTTAAACTCATTGTAGGTTCTGACATGATTGTTATTTGTATTAATGACCCTAACATTAATTGTTAATGATTTATGTTGTAAACAAACATCGGAATTCATCGTTGTTGTTGATACAAATAGACAAATAGATTACGTCGGATTTTATTTCACCTACTTGTAGTATACTAGCATTTGGATGCTAAACCTTGTTTAAATACTGCCTTATTGCAGCCAACGTTTTTCTTAATATCATCATACAGATATTGTAAGCGTCAGCGTTTAAGAAGGACTGGAGGTTCTCTACAAATAATAGTATTCATCATGGTGATAAGTACAGGTGTGTACATCGCAGCTGTCATCATAGCAGGTAAGTTTATCTCTTTGCCTTTTTGGTTTCTTTATTTGTAACAAAATAAAATAATAAAACTGTCATGGTATTTTACAAAGAGAAGAGCAATTTTTTTATTTGGTACACTTCCGCGTATCCTCGTCGCATAAGAATTGCGTACTTCCTAGCTAGCCTCCTTGGCAGACTTCTGAGGTGGCGGCGTTAATTTTAGTCGGGGAGCGACGCGAGTTTGGCCGCGCGGAGGGACGGCTTTGCCGCCGAGGGACTTGGCCGGGCAGAGACGGTTTCACAGCCTAAGAAATTAACGCCCGTCTCAAAAGTCTGCGAAGGAGGCTACGTATTGACATTCCTGTCATCCGTACGCACACATACGCACGTCATATGCACCCCCATGAAACTCCTTCCTCTTCGCCCCCGCCGTTCTGCTTCGCCCCCGCAAAAAATCTGCTTCGCCCCCGTCGTTCCTCTACGCCCCCCGACGCAATTCTGCTTTGCCCCCGTCCTTCTGCTTAGCCCCCAATGGCGGCACAGCTCACAGTCGACACGAAAATCGTCTGCAAAATAACAATAAAGGCTGTGCCGCCAAATTTAAAGTAGCCCATACTCCGGCAAACATTCTGGACCACCTTTCTGCCAAGTGGCGTTGCACAAATCCTTCCCATTCAAACGTTTACCCCTACCTCACGGCCCGTCAGTGGTTCTTACGTTTATAAGTACTGGCGTTTATAAGTACAGCCGTGAGTGAAATTTCCCGCCAGTACTTATAAACGTAAGAACCACTGACGGGCGTAGAGGAACGACGGGGGCGAAGCAGATTTTTTGCGGGGGCGAAGCAGAACGGGGCGGGGGCGAAGCAGAACGGCGGGGGCGAAGAGGAAGGAGTTTCATGGGGGTGATATGCATCTCAGTCGTTTTGAGTCTGTGTACGTTTTATGTACGCCGGATCATACTAAGTAATACGCTCAGTACGGCCCAGTACATAGAGTAGTTTTTGGCATTTGGGCGATTCACTGTTTAATCTTGAATTCACTCTATGGAATCTGCACCCAGACAATGAAAATAGCGGAAAGCAGCCAGGTTTTCATTAAATCTGGAATATGCATGCTTGGAACACGATAGGCATCAACCCACGCTTTACTCACAAATGAGGAACATGCGACCTTGCTTTTCAATGATTTCAGGCCTTCGAAAATAATGCCAATTAAAGTATATTATAGTCTGTGTAACGCAAACTCTGCCGTCCACGGCTTTAGTGGCCCCTTCCCGGGGGGCGGCTGGGTGTTGGGCGGGCGTAAAGCAATTTAATCTGGCTAAGTAATGTCATCTACTCACTAATGTTAAAACTTTTATATCCTTGTAGTCATCGTGGTGTTGACTGTTCTCGGCTGTCTCCTCACCATCGTCGCCATCTTGGCCCGCCCGAACCTGAGGAAGCTGGTCAACGTGCCCCTGGTCAGCCTCAGCTGCGCAGACATCCTCTTCGCCACCTGCGACGCCGCCTTGTGGATCTACCACTTCCTGCACCCCCAATGGGAACCGCCAGGGGCGCTGTGCTGGTTTGAATCGTACACCACTCCCGTGCTGTGGGGGGTGTCGATAGGTCATATGCTGTGTATCGCTCTCCAACGGTACTTCAATGTCTGTACCTACAGCACGCGTCTGAAGTCTACCTGTGTCCTCGTCATCATGCTTTCACTCACATGGTTGCTTCCCATCGTTTCATTCTTACCTGTGCATGTCCTTGAAGAAGTTAAGGTAGACCCAAAGCTGAAACGATGTGCTTTGGGAGGATCAGCTAATCTATGGGGAAAGATAACACCGACCGTTCTCATCCTCATCATCCCATACATAGTGTCCCTCGTCTGTTACGCGCTCATCCATAACCATGTCAGGAAGAGTAAGAGACGCGTCATGGCCAACGCCAATCACCACCCGAAACGTTGGGCTGTGCAGTTCTCTCGTGGAACGCAAGGTGGCGAGGCTGGACCTTCTACCTCCACTACTGCAACTACCCACACCACACGTTCCTCGAGAAACGCGTACGGTGGAGTTTGGACGGGAGACGACAATTCCTCCTCATGTGATGATGACGAACAAAACGCAGTTAACCAGAATAAGCCAGGAAAAGCTAATCACAAAAATATCATCCTGGTCACTCCAGTGCCAGATACAACTGAGAAACCTACAGAAAAAAGACAGCATGGGAGGGGCAAAACACCAAATGCCAAATCTCACAACACCAATGCTGCCGAGAGGCAAATCACCAAAATGATGATGACTCTCTTCGCCGTGTACACAGTATGCTGCATGCCCATGACCCTAATGGTGATGGTCTACACTAAGGTACCGTCCGAAGCATTCATGGTTGCCTCTGTCCTGATGGCTCTAAACGGCGCCCTGAACCCGATCGTGTACGGCCTGATGAACAAAAATATCCGCCAGGGCTATAAGCATATCTGGGACTGTGTCCTCAACTACATAACGTGACTTTTTGCTAAAAAAAAGGTAAAGATACTCCTATAGCTACTGTGGCCGACAAGCACAAGCCTGCGCGAACACCTCGTCGTCTGCGCGAACACCTGCGTCGTCTGCGCGAACACCTGCATCGTCTGCGCAAAGACCTGCGTCGTCTGTACAGAAAAAAGCTGCGTCGTCTGCGCGAACACCTGCGTCGTCTGCACAGACAGAAGCTGCGTCGTCTGCCTAGACGTCGCAGATGTTGGCGCAGGCGATACAGGTGTTCGCGCAGACGACGCAGCTTTTTTCTGTGCGGACGACGCAGGTGTTCGCGTAGACGACACAGGTGTTCGCGCAGACGACACAGGTGTTCGAGCAGACGACGCAGGTGTTTCCGCAGGCGACACAGACTTGTACTTGTCGGCCACGGTACATAGCCTTTTTCAGGCTGATGGGGGCAGTGGGTTCTTAATCCTCTGTCTTGGTTGGTTCGTTATCCTTTAATGCCCACGATCATGATAACGATCATTCTGGCATACTCATTTTCATCTGAGCAAAGTTTCCCAAAGGCACAAGGTTGGCAGGGACCTCTTGGTTCTGAGCCGAATGCTCTGCCATTACGCCACACAACCCCATGTCTATTGGAAGGCAGAGCCCATCCCTCTCCTTCTACCGCCTGTTACCTCCCCAACTGAAGTTAGGTACCCACACGTGGATGGAGAAAGTGCCTTTCCCTGGGACACAACATCTAGCCAGGAATCGAACCCACAACCTCTCAATCTCGCGTGTCCGCTAGCCTAGCCAGTCCGCCATTCAATGCCGCTAACTTGACTTTATATGTGAGCTTTAATAGCCTATCATGAATCAGAAATGCATGAAATACATGATGAAATAGAATACGTTTGATCTCGACTAAGAAATGAAAAATCTTGGAGAACAAAACTTATGAAGTAGAATATTGTAAAAACATGTTGTGAAAGTTGTCACTGAGAAGTGTTCTAAATATCAAGAGTTATACAAAATGAGATGGGTAATGCCTATACACCAAATGGTGTGGTAAGGTTTTATAACTAACTTAAAGTTAGTAGAAGTAAATAGTATGAAGAGTCAAGAAAGCAAAAAGGTAAACATTATAGAATGTATATCACTTCTGGAACATGTTACCTATGGCACATTACTCCAAAAGAAAGTGTCTTGAAATTGCATTTAAGTTAAATTACTCACTGTGCTTTCCTCACTATTTTAAGTACACTCTAAGAAAAGTGTAAATCACTTAAATTAAAAACTAGAGTTCCACGATCTCATACCTTCGCCAAATGATGTTACCCTTAGGCCTTGACGAATGTTGACGATTCGCATTGATTATGCAAATTAGGCATTCATTTGTATAAACACTACCTGCCAATGTTCTTCTTATTCACAATTGCACATGCCACACGTTTGAATAATCATATCATGGAAGGTAGCAGATTTATAGCATTTCCTCATTAATTATGCTAATTAGCTGTTGATTTGCATAACTATCATTTTCATACGTCAAGCATTCTTACCAAAAATCATGATGATCCATCAATCGGTTCTTGAGTTATCCTCCTTCAAATATTTTTCAACTAATGCTTCTGCACTTCCAGAACAAGCCGCTAGGGGGTCCAAAGCCATGCCATTTCTTCACCAGCCAAAGACCTACCTACCATCCAAATTTAGTGACCCTACCATGTCCAGATCACGAGATATCAAAACCGGAAGTTCAGCTGCAGTACCATAACAAGCCGCCAGGGGGTCCAAAATCTAATCAGTTCCAGGTCTCATCAAGACCTACCCACCTACCAAATATAAAGACAATCCATCGTAGCCTTCTTGAGTTATCGTGTTGACACACACACACAGACACACGAACGCCAACAAAAACATAACCTTCTTGGCGAAGGTAAAAATTGATCAACATAGACATTGACTTGGTTAGAATTTAATACACATGTACCTGCTTAAAGAGAGCTCATACAACTTTTTTTTTTCAAATTTCATCTTAGGTTCTACATTTTACAGCTCCAAGCACTGACTTTAAAACGGTTTACAAATTGTCATCTGAGTGCAACATTCAGAAAAATAAAACATTTATTTGCACATTCATTCAGTCGGCTTAACAAATGGTTCAGCAAAATCACTTAACAAATTTACACTGTTTTCAAACATTGAGTTAGTTCTAGTAGTTGAGCTTGCACATAAGTTAACAGGGCTCGAAATTCAATTTTGGGAATAGGTGCACTGGTGCACCCATCCTAAAAAATTGGGTGCACAAATTTTTTTTGGGTGCACCATGTAACTAGAATGTCAGCAATAACTAATTATGTTTCATTTTTAACGAGAAGTACTACAACAATGATTTTATTATTTTTCTGACACTTGGATGTTAAGAATATGCTTTATACTACTATACATTTTACATACGTAAAACTATGAAAATATTTGGGTGCACTGCTGCACTAACAAACAGAAACAAATTCAGTGCACAGCTCCAAATTTGGGTGCACTAAGGTGCACATGCACCCAGTATTTCGAGCCCTGAGTTGCTAAGTACCGGTAAAACCGCGTTCATACGTCAGTTAACCATCTCCCTCCTGCCTAACATAAAACCTAATACAACTTTTACGCCAAAAGGCCGGCTTGGTAGGAAGGAGGTTAATCGTTTAAATCCCATTTAACTTCCCGGTTCTGGTCCGAAGTCGCGTACTGCGGACAGGATTAACTCGCTTGACGGGACTGTCCGGCACGAAATCGGAGTCCACGCTGTCATACCCCGCCATTCGCTCATCCTCACTTCTGGTCACACACCCGTTTGTGTGAGAACCATTCAGCTTTGCCGTCTCTTCCTTGGCCTAGAAATATGGAAGAGTGTCTGTTATTGGCCAATCGCAAAACAGATCGTGACAAGGCATCCAATGCAATTTCAGGGCTGGAAAACTGGTAATATTCCGAAAAAGGCAATCTGTATGATATTGACACATAATACTATGCCACATTTTGAATCAGTATCTCATACTTAAGGCATTTAAAACTGCAGGAACAAGCCTAACGATAAAGTCCTTTATTTCCAGGGTGGCACCCTAAAAATCAAACCGTTTTCCATTTTTGGGGGCATTTTTCCTCCATGAATGTCGATATATATATGTACATGTACATCGGGACAGTGTTGGTTTAACTTAGTGACTGGAATATTGACTTGGAAAAATCTGGTTTCCAAGCCCTAAAAACTGCACTGGATGCCTTTAATAGCCTCTACCAGGCTTTGGGAGGTGGCTGTTGGTCCGCTAGAGAGTACATATTTGACACACCCAGCATGTTTTATCTCTCTGTATTTAGCCAATTTCTACTCTTTCCAGCTGCCTCCCAAAGCCTGGTAGAGGCTAACATTAACTCTAACAATTCAACTCAATATCATCAGAATACATGTAATCAGATATTTAAAAATTTCATTGACTGTAGTATAATTCTGTGAACATGAGTGTAGTTATTCATTTGACGTATGCTGTACGTGGCTATTCATTGTAAATTCAGAGCTTAATGTCTAGCATTGTTTATTAGTGTTGCTAGCAATAAAGTCTTCTTGCTACATGTACATGTTGGTAACATACTAGTACATTATGGTTCTATATGCCACACAATAGATGTAATGACATATCAAATCTACTGCCATCACATGTACTACAGTATTTACGTATATGGATTAGATTACACTTATCAAATGTAACATATGGTAAGGAATTTCTCTTGCACTCTGTGTACTTCTCTATTATCATATATAGCCACGTTTGGTGAATATTGACCACTGTAAAATCTTAACTGCCAGCCCTATAGTCTTATAAGACAGAGTCATTCTATGTCACTGTTAATTACATGTACCTACCCTTTGACCAGCAATGTACACCATCGCATACAGGCACAGGAAAGTCATCGCCATCTGGAAAATCATCACATTGTCATTAAGTCACTCACTCACTATCCTCGTGTAAAAGTGGTAAAAATTTAAAGACAAGATGATGACAATGTATTATAGCCTGAGTGTAAGCCTTTTTAGCTTTCATCCGCTCCCCACAATCTGATAATAGCAGAGGATTGTGAGGAGTGGGTGAAAAATGTATTAACTATTTTCACATCATACATATATGCATCTTTTGTCTAGTACAAAATAAAGTGTTGAAATACTGTAAATCTTGGAATGATTGTGGTAGTTGTATTTTCATTAGTTTCGTAGTGCCTCTCTACTGTCAATGAAAGACTCATTTTTGTGTTACAGTATTGCTTCCAACACAAACTTAAAACACTGCAAAAGCCTCCTTTCATAAAGTTTAATTTATGCTGAATTAGACGAATTTACTGTACCTGAAAGACCAGCCACAAGAAGACCAGGGGAAGCTGTGTTTGAGCAAACAGAGTCCTCCCAAACTTCAGGCAGATAATAGCCTCTATAAACGTGATGGCCCTGGAAATACATGTATTCAAAATTTAATGTTTAGGTGCTCAGCTTTTTTTTTTTTAAACTTTGGTAGCGGGTTAATTTCCCCCTAGGAAGAATAGATTGCTAGGAAGCATTTACAATACTGTCATGTACTTAATTTTAGTGAAAAGTAACTGTTACTGTAAGCTCAATACAACGTTACATTGTACAACAAAGGACTAATACATGTATATCACAAAATGAGAATATATGTTGCAACTGGTACTTAGCTAGATAATTGAGCATGTGTGGTAAACTATATTTTGTATATTTGCAAGTACAAAGTGTGTATTTTTTACATAACAACATCACACACCACTAATCTTTTTAAAAGATGGATTATGATTGTGATATTGATGTTTTATTTCGTCTTTGTCTTGTATATATTGTCTTGTATATATACATGTATGTACCCAGCACATACATGTGCTAAGCCACTGAGTAGTGCTACACTGGTTAAAGAACACAGAAACAAAAAAGGATTCGGAGACTTCAAACCTCCATGAAATATATGAGTTTTTGTAAATGTTTTTACACTGTACACTACACTACAGTACAGAACAAAATAACACAGGTTTTTGTTGCCCTGAAATACATGTAGGTCAGGCTGTCAACTCAGTACATGTAGCCTATTCCAGAGGGACCTCATCAATCATTTGACCTTGACCTTTGGCTTCCTAAGACCAATACCAGCATACCAAATATCATCACAATCCATAAAGGCGTTATGAAGTTATGCTGACTACAAATGTGCGGAAACACACACACACACACACACACACACACACACACACAGACGCACTAAAAACAATACCTCCATTTTTCATGGAGGTAATAGATGAAAAAATAAACAAAACACTTACCCGACGACCCAACACTGCGTGCCGACGCGCTTGCAGGCGGTATCGGTGGCGTAGGCGTAATACTGACGGATAGTCGGCGCAGACACCAGGCCGATGAGAAGGATGCGTCCCCAGGTCAGGTAGTGGTGGTTGGGAATGTGCAGGATGTGCTTCAGGAAAAACGTGTTCAGCTCCGAAATCTGACAAACATGAGGAAACAGATGTCTTATCAAAGGTCAACCTTGGAACGTAATATTTGAGACAAAATGCAATGCTTTACAAACTAGAAGGTAACATTTGCAAATAAAAAAAGCAAATGCATTAAATGTTTAAATTACCTCTGCATATGGTCTTCTCAGTTAATTCTTACTCAAACACATTCATATACTGTATTATGGTCAGACAGGAGTCTAAATCACTCCTGCTATAACATGATGTAACTCAACACTAGTTACCATAGTGACAGACATCTGGTTCAGGTCATTGACCTTATTGGTTTGGAGAAGAAGAAACAGAGCAAAAACGTTTTCCTTTGTTAAACATAATATAAATAGTTAGGGCTGTGCTAATGTTGGAAAGGTGTTAAGCTGTTCGGACGTTTGAACGGCGATGTTAGTGTCCGTTTCACGTCCAAAGGCAAGATCTTAGAATCCAAGACACTAACAATAAAAGGAGTTTTTCAGTTCAAGATATAGTGTCCATATTTCTCAGTCTGAGTTGAAGTATTAGTACTGTATATAGAGGCTTTGTATATAAGGGCTCCGCCCCAGAGGTGTAGCCAAAAATAATACATTAAACCACCCACCTGCCATATGACCAGTAGGAGGTAGACTGCCATCAGACGCATCTTTGATGACTTAGGATCCAGCCAGCGAGTATGGCTCCAACTGTGGACATTTTCAACACAACTTAAGTATTGACTAGAAAGGTAACGTTTGCAAAGCAAATGCATAATGTTTACCTTTGTATATGCTCTGCTCTGTTAATTCTTACTCAAACACATTCATATTGTATGGTCAGATAGGAGTCTAAATCCCTCCTGCTATAAAATTGCAACATGATGTAACCCAACACCAGTTACCATGGTAACAGACAGTCTGGTTCAGGTCATTGACCTTATTGGTTTGGAGAAGAAGAAGAACTTAAGAGGAAACAGCGCCATTTTAAAGCATTTTAAGGAACAGCAAATAGAGACCCACATGTACAAAGTGTATGCTACAAGGTAGGGACCTGTAATATAAGGCATGAAGAAACCTTCTACATCAAGATCATTGTGGTGAAAGGAACCTTAGTACTTACTATAAAGTCTATAATGTTTTAATCATTCTTACCTTGCAGGGGTAAACTGCATGACAGCACGTCTGATTTTACCCTTGGTGGATCTGATGTCCCTGGATAACAAAGTCATCTGTCTCAGTTTCACACCACAATGATAGGAAAAGGTCAAAGAACAACTTAGCTCATGAGTTATACACATTGTGTCAAAAAAGTTGAAATTTGTTTCCTGTTTCAGTCCTGAAAAAATAGGGTCGGTAGGTAGGGATTATATCTTTTTTTCTTTATCTTTTTTATTAGACTTTGGCAATCACTAGTGATCAAACTTGCACAATAAAGTAAAACTTGCATATAAGGACACTACTTTCAATGTCAATGTTGGAAAACTTATTGTACAACGTTTCATCACTCAGGTGTCAGATCATGGAAGTAGCAAAGGTTGATCAGGTCCAAAAATTTATGTCCCTTGCAGGGGTCCACCCAAAAAAAGGCTAGGGTTGGCAGTTTTTTCTAGGGCCGGTCGGGAAACAGGGAACACAACATTTATTTTTCCTAGGCCTAAGTTTTACCACAGTGCTTCATTACAAGTGCGTCAAGATGCACCCCAGAAGATCTTTAAGTCACAGTGTCTTACTTGATGCTCTCCCATCGATAGCAGCGCATCTCAAAGCGCCTGCAGACGAACATGCCCAGCCAGATGCCCCCGCCGTTACACAGCAGCACATCCAGCAGCAGCTGGTCCCACCAGCACTCCGCAAAGTTAGGCAGCAGGTGCATGAAGGCCAGCTGCAGCATTCCAACAGAACAGGTGGTGAATGAACAGGTGTCACAAATCAGATGCAACCACATGATATATATGAAAGACAACTGCATCATTTATGTGACATATAGTACATGTAGCTGCGGCATCTAAAAAACAGGTGTAAAGATGGTGTAGTCAGATTCATGAAAGACAGCTGCATCATTCCACACATAACAGGTGCACCGTGCTGAATGAACAAGTGTAACAAATGAGAGTTACAGGGTGTATGAAAGACATTATGATATATAGTCATGTAGTTGTAACATCTCAGCAAAGCAGGAATAAAAAATGGTGTTGTCAGATGCATGGAAGACAGCTGCAGCATTTCCACTCATTACAGGTGCTGAATGAACAGGTGTAACAAATGAGATACAAGCAGATGTATAAAGACAGCTGTAAAATTCCAACCTTACTAGTTAAAGGTGTTGAATGAACAAGCCCTGAAGAGATGAGTAAAATTTGTAACTAGATTTTCCTGACTTTCTACTTTATTTTGAATTGTGCTCCTAAAATTTTTCTACACAGTCACATGAATTTTTGGCACCTATTCCCAACATCATATTCAAATACATAATGTACTACGTGAACAATAAAAACTAGAAAGGCAACATTTCCAAATTCATAATGTTTACCTTCGCACATCATCTGCTCTGTTAATTCTTACTCAAACACATTCATATATATGGTCAGTCAGGAGTTTAAATCCCTTCTGCTATAAAATTGCAACATGAAGATGTAACCCAACACTAGTTACCATGGTGACAGACGTCTGGTTCAGGTCATTGATCTCATTGGTTTGGAGAAGAAGAAGAGGAAGAAACTGAGCAAAAGCAACATGTTTCCTTTGAAAAACATAAAAACCTGCAGACTGACTTACCTCAGTAACCTCCCAGGTGACACTTATTGTCCAGCAGAGTCCGAAACTGCGTACGATCAGGGCCTTCATGGCCCAGCCCCAGAAATGGGCAAACATGAAGATGTCACAGTGGCCCCACAGGCGCTCCCATGTCACCTGGGAACAGTTCACAGCATACTCCTGGGGGAAGGAGTGAGTGAGTGAGTGAGTGAGTGAGTGAGTGAGTGAGTGAGTGAGTGAGTGAGTGAGTGAGTGATTGAGTGAGTGAGTGAGTGAGTGAGTGAGTGAGTGAGTGAGTGAGTGAGTGAGTGTGAGTGAGTGAGTGAGTGAGTGGGTGAGTGAGTGCATGCGTGCGTGCGTGAGTGAGTGAGTGAGTGAGTGAGTGAGAGTGCGTGAGTGCGTGAGTGAGTGAGTGAGTGCATGCGTGAGTGAGTCAGTCAGTCAGCCAGTCAGAATTTAGAAGATAGATGAATGAAAGAATGTGTGAATGAAAGAAATGGATAAATGAACTACATTAGCAAAGATTAATTGCACATACAGTATCAAAGAATGTAAAGCAATAGAGAACATACAATTACTGTCTGATCAACTTTTTGTATTATGAGGTATGACTTCTTTTTTATGAATGAATAACAGTACAAAAATTATTATGATGTCTTTTATCAGAAAATTAGAAAATTCAGAGCTGAAATTTTCTATGACTATGTATCTCATGATAATTGTCAGAAGGAGATATTAAAAAAATTTAAGCTTAAAAAATTATTTTGTCCTTACGACTTTTCAAGACAATGCCAAAGTTAACTTAACACACTTCAAACAAATAAACAAACTTGTTTAGTGCTGCACCTTTGTGTCTGGTCCGACTTTCCTGAGTTCTGGGTCTAACCAGTACATCATCTTCTTCATGTCCGACAGCTTTTGGAACAGCAAGAAGACCAGCAGCAGCAGGTACAGCACACTCAGGCCTGACAGCACAACAAAACAACAACTGTGACAAACAGGTCTATCATTTCTTTCAACTATACACACCTCATGCCTCCATGAACATTTTCATCAGGTTGGTCACTGAATAAAGAGACTCTTTGTATTATTACACAACCAAGTCTTTTATTCAGCCGATGTTTCGGTGACCGTCTGTCACCTTTCTCGGGGCAATTCTGACTGGTTCACATTGCACTGCAGCACAGGTGTCGCTGCTATAGATGCATTCCTGAATGTATAATATTTACATATCTACACATTACAGGGAACTGTATCTACAAAGTGGTCCCAAACGTACAGAACTTGGATATATACATAATTGTAGTCAGTTATTAAACAAAAGGAGTTACAGAGAGCAGATTCTACAATGTGGTTCCAACCATACGTGCCTGCTTCTCAATCTTCTACACAGAAAAGAGATTGTCAATTTGGTTTCCTTGAACAATGTTTATGGGAATCAGAGATGGCATTTACTGATTTTGAGTAGCAAATATATAGCAGTACCATCAATGGCAGAATTATCTTTTATTTTTGACAGGTACAACATGCTATATTACATATAGAACTTACCAAATACTATTCTCCATAATGCAGGATGTGGTCTGGTGAAAGGACCTAAAAGGAAAAAAACACATGTAAAAGGTACAATGTATATATATAACATCTGAAATTCTTTCTTTCAAGATCAAGTCCTTGTCCCATCATTCAAATCTTAAGGTAGAGATCTACAGATCTCTGAAAAGTAACATACATACAGCATATGGTACCAATACTACATGTACTCACCATTGGGAAATGCCAGCACACTGATGATTATAAAGAAGAAAATCAAGCAAAGCAATCCATCCCAGATGTTGTCATCTGTGTTGGCTTCTTCATTTCTGAAAAAGATGAAAAGAGACAGTGAATTAGACTTTGTACATACATGTATTCCCAGGATACAAATATGCATACAATCTGCAGAGGAAAGGAAAAGATTGCCAGCAAAACTATGTACAGGTTTGCTTTGAAGTTTAGCAAAGAGCATGTGGATTTATTGTGAATGTGAGATTCTATCAATAATACCTGGATTAAAACATCCAAAATCCTGCTTAAAGAAATGTAGGTCATAATTTCCCTGGATGGCTATATGGTAATCTACAACTCACAATATAAAAAGCTCTCAAAGTTATAACTCTTTTCCACAAAACAATACAAACAATGAAGCCATTTTCTAAGCTAGTTTGCTGCCTAGCCTACTTATAAGCATTTGGCTATGCTTTTCTCTCTGACACTATATAAGTACACAAATTGTATTTCTACCCTACATCAAGGCTGTAACATGTTGCAGAAAGAAATCTCTGCCTACCACTCACACCTTTGTCTCTTTTTTATAGTTTCAGACTTTTTATTTGAATCGTGAAAGAAGATGAAGAATCGTGATGGCTGAACGCGTTTCTTTGTGTGAGAGTCTATATAGTTCTTACCCATTTACTGTAAAGGAATCAGGCAGTTTCTTTCACGGGGAGCAGTAATATGTGCGGGGCCTATGAATATGTGGCCATGAACTTTCGAAGCTTTTGAATAAGACTTGAAGGGATGGCAGATGTCTTTACCCACCATTAATTTTTGACAATCCACCATCCTTGTGACTTTTCCAAAGACGCCAACTTCTTGACATCTCAATGCCTTCTTGAAGACTGATCAACTCCAGAAGTGTCATGTAAATCTGCATATGTATTGGAGGCCTAACAAGTTGTGTGTATAGGTAGAGTCTATCTAATTGGCTTTCACACATTTGGAGTTAAAGTCCAAGCCTACTGGTCACAGCTTATTGTTAATCCAGGCATTTCTGACTAGTGGTGACAGAATCTCCTAGGAGATGCCAAACTGTAGTAATTCTGTTTGTTTGGAGTTCCGGTGGCTGTGAGAAAGTTGGCCCATTGACTGACAAGCTTAGAGTTCAAGTCACAACATTTCTTCCTTCTTCTTCTTTTATTTTGAGGCAGACGCCTTCAACTACCTGAAGATTCTGCTGGCTTTTTGTGGCTAATACGAGATGGGATTTGCCAGGCATGCATCCAGGAAAGTCGTGTAAAGAGCCTTTCCAAAGAGCACAAGATCGGTGACATGGCAGGTTCGAACCCGGGACCTCTTGGTTCTGAGACGAACGCTCTGCCCTTACACCACACCTACTAGCTCAAACCTTAAACTTCTTTGCAAACATCACCAACAGATAATTTTTTTTCTTTGTATGACATTCCCAGAGACATTGTGAATTGAAGCCTACTAGTATAGTACAGATATCTTGTTCTGTTCAACAAAAAAGGGGGAGTGATTTTGGCAAATATTTGGTCTGTTTAAAGGCTTGTCTCAGCTGCTTGTCACATGTCACTTTCCACTCCAAGGTGACCTTACTTCGTTACAAAACGTGACCTTTTTGTCCCTGAAATGATCTGGCATTCAAATTCCAAAATCAGAGTAATAATTTGACCCACAACATAACTTCTTAGTAGGCTATGTGCAGGACACAAGAAAGTCTCAACATATTATATAATTTCATTCATAACAAACTGTAAGAAACAAATACGTTGAACATCCGGGATGTAAAACTATAAATATTTGAAAGCTCATACGTAATTTATTCTAATTTTATTCATGAAGGGGACATAACGGTTCCATTTTGCTCTTGCTTTGTTGCAGGTTTAGCTTTCTTTTTACCGAAATATATTGTACGGCGGTTCTTAAAGATTTCAACTTTAAGAATCACGTCATCACCTATTTTATGCTATGACTCAAACGCAGTTTGTATGCAAACACGTTTTGTACACGAGACGGCAAATAAACGTGGGAGCACCGGCCGCTAGTTTCTCCTGAAAACGTACCTTAGAAAGGCGATGTACAGCGATCCGAGCACACAGGCAGTCAAGAGGGTTATCGTATGCGGCTTGTAGAAAAATTCGAGGGTGATGTCCTCGACTTTCTGCTCGTTGATGGCCCGAAAGTCGTAGTGAATGGACACCTGTCGTCTGTGGCCGGTTCGGGCGGCCATCTTGAACGTGAAGCATAGTGGGACGTCGGGCGAGTCCACATCCACAAAGGGGTGTCCTACTCTCCAAGCAGAGGTTTGGGTTTGGGGTTATTTTTGGCTTGTTTTTAGACTTTTTTATCGGTGTTTCTTTTATGGTGAAAGAAAAATTCCAGTACAAAAAAGAAAGCCCGATAAAAAAAGTCTAAAAACACGCCCAAAATAACAAAATAACCCAAAATCCAAACCTCTGCTTGGAGAGTAGGGGTGTCCTAGGTTTGAACATAATCTTATAAAATTCACTTCTATATTATCTAAATTATGATTATCATGTTCTCTCCAAAATCCATATCAAAATAATATCATATGATAGAATTATCTAACGTTATAAATGATGAGTGGCAAAAATTGATTAGAAATGTAATGTACATGCGGTTTTGTACTCGACTGCTAGATGTCGCCTTTGATGTTATGAATCGTTGCTTTTTTAGTGGAAAACTTCAGTTCACTTTTGTTTAAAGTCCTGAAATCTATTTCTATGTTGTTGTTAGATTCAAAGCAGAACGACAGTGCAAGTTATATTGATTAGGACCACAGGTAAATGTTTTTAATGCTCCTCGGACCAAGAAAAAGGCATAGGACTTAGGAGCAAAGTTGCCCCCTTTCTTTTCGGTAATACATGTAATATAATAAATGCAATGCGCTACCGCGCTATTGTGCGTACTCTACCGATCGAATGTTCTACATGTCTTAGGCCAAGTTGATTTGATTACTAGTACATGTATATGGATGACATCCTATGGGAACCCCAAAACTGATGCGAGCCAAAAAAAAAAAGTTTGGCAAAAAAATAAGTTGCATTCATTATGAAATCTACTTGGTTTTGAAGGTTGAACAAATGACACAGAGTAGGGTTTGGCGAATAATTTAGTCTACAGATTCATTTCTTTACATTTTCTTCTTTTACGTTTGATTTTGGCATTCTACTACATTGGTATCGTTTTCCATTTTTTTCCAACTTAAGTTATATATTTGCTCATTTTGCAAACGTTTTGAACGATTTCCAGTATGGTTGAAAACTTTTTTTTTTGAAACGGCCGAAAATTCATGGATGTCATCCATATAATCAAATCAACATGGCCTTATGTGCATGCCTGGCCGATTTCGTTGGTTCAATATGATTGCGCCTCCTCGGTTGACTAACCCGTAAGAATCCGAAGGATCTATAAGGATGCTTTGAGCTTTACCGCCAAAATTGAACTTCAGACGGGTCGCGCCTATATTCTAAGGCGTAACGCGGCACACGGGTCTACAAATTATCCTTTGGTCGTCGTGGTACCGCGTTTTGCTAACCTTCAAACGAAGGGACATAACTAAAACTAGAAAATTACATTATCAAAGCAAATGCATAATGTTTACTTTCGCATATGGTCTGCTCTGTTAATTCTTACTCAATCACGTTCATATATACACGTATGGCGGCAACAGTCTAAATCCCTCCTGCTATAAAATTTAAACATGATGACGTAACCCAACATTAGTTACCGGGGTGATAGACGTCTGGTTCAGGTCATTGGCTTTGATTTGTTTGGAGAAGAAGAGGAAGAAGAGGAAAGAAGAAGAAGAAACTGAGCAAAAACAATACGTTTTCCTTCGGTAAATATAATGACTTTCCGAATAGATAGCAAGCCATGACAGTACACATGCGTGTTTTCCCTCAGACTTCAAATGGAACCACTCTATTCCCTTTTCGGGTCCTTCCCGTAATCCATGCACGTTTTAGCCATGGTTAATTTCCCTTACCGGTTGATTCCATGACCAATAGAGAATAATGTGGGCGTGCCGCCAATCGATACAAATGGGTACGTACAGCAAGTTAAAAATAACACCACTTGACCCGGCTAAGCCTCAGAACGGTCCGAAGAGTAAATTTCCAAGTAACCTCCCTCACCTTATTTTTGGCTCAGTGGGTCGTTTATATCGCATTTAGTACGGGATAAGTATGCCGGGGCAGTTTTTTAGATCTTATTTTCGATATAAACGATTTAGGCCACAGCAAGTAATTTTTATGGATGACATCAGCGCGCGCATTAATTTTCGGCTGATTTTGAAAAAAAAAAAACCAAGAAATTTTGTTGCCCTCAACATGCCAAAATTGGGCAAAGATGTCTGTTGCCATACCGGAAGGTGGATGGCAGATAACTATGAATACAGGAGTACAAGAGAAGACTAGTGCAATGTAATGTTTTTTACTTTGATGCAGATGCTGGCTGTGTATATTTGATGTTCACTGAATCAAAAGCATTTGTACAATTATTGAGTCAACATTTAAGAATGTAGGAACCTTGTTTTTTCGGCCCGCCTTGTTTTTTTTTTCGCCCGCGCTCGCTTTTGAAATCTGCGGAGGATGTCATCCATAACATTTACTTGCTGTGGCCTTAAGAGTGGCGATAAACGAGATTTCTGGGAGATTGAGTTCTCGATAATCAACCTCAATTTCACAGTCAAGATTAGAATTGGAAATAATCTGCATGCTGTAAATCACGATGGACCGAGTCTGTGGCCTATGCCCACGGATGGGCAGTAGGCATAAGTAAGTAGGGCCACAGCAAGTAATTTTTATGGATGAAATCATGATCGCGCACGTTAATTTTCGCATGATTTTGGAAGAAAAAAAACAAGAAATTCTGTTGCTTTCTGACAGTGGTCAACATGCCGAAAATGGGCAAACAAACGTCTGTTGCCATGCCGGAAGGTGGATGGCAGATAACTATGAAGAGAGGAGACAAGAAAAGGCTCTGATTTAATGTTTTGTTTCTTACTTTGATGCAGTGATATGTGATGCTGGCTGTGTATATGTGACGTTCCCACTGAATCAAAACCATATGTACAATGATTGAGTCAAAATTTTAAACCTTGTTTTTTCGGCCCGCCTTGTTTTTTTTCGCCCGCTCGCATTAGATTTGGAGTCTGCGGAGGATGTCATCCATAAAAATTACTTGCTGTGACCTATAAGTAAGTCCAAATCACTACTCATTCTTATACAAGACGTAATAAGGTTATCCGGGGGTAGTGACAAATTGAGCTTTCAGTAGGGATAGAAAAACACAAAGTCATTATTTATTTGAGAAATATTTCTGATTGTTTGAACGGACGGAACTTCATAATTTTAAATATAATTTGTTAAAAATTTATGATATACATTACATTATTATTTTATTCAGTGATTCTATAGCACAGCCTGTTCAGCTTTTAAATTTTTCCGTTGTTTTTAAACCACCGTTTCTGCAATTGTTTTCTATAGAGAATCATATCCCCCAGGTTTCATTTATTCTTCCCTTTTCGTCGTCAGTGTGTATTTCAATATTGCCAGTTGCGTATTTGTCATAGTAAACTTTCAATTTTAATTGTAATTTTAATCTTATAAAAGTTATATGATTTTATAAAATTGAATTGTGATAAGCCAATGTGGCGAGATTCTATCACTTGATTTATTCAGATACAGAATGACAAAAATCACGCATTTGAGTACATAAAGTTGCCATTTACACTAGTTCAGAAAACATTACGATTGTCCATCCCAATATCTGCTTGGAGATCAGCGCTACGTCCCTAATGCCCTTTCACCTTTAAGGGGGATCACGTGACGTAACATGGATGTCACCTTTTATCAGTCTGTTGTGATCTTACACTACAGATCCTGTTCCTATTGTGCTTAAAACACAACCGTCGTGGAACAGAAACAAAACATTGCAGGCACAGGGGACAGTGAAACCTTTGACCAGCCGAGTGACCGATCCAGAAGCGGACGGAATTTCTGCCCAGCGGCTCTGCCCATGTCTGCAGGCGGCGTTGAAGTTGCCTGGACCCCGGAGAGCTGAGCGCAGTGCCACCGGCCGTCCAGCCTAGCGAAGCCCGGCGTTTTCTCCCTCTTATCCTTGGCCTGGCTGTAACGTCGGTACGGTGCAACCTTCTTTGATCTTCCCACTTGACCATAATTGAAAACGGGCCAGCGGGATCCTGTTTGTGCGTGTGTGAAGAGAGGCTACAGTAGGCCTGCGTGTGTTTATAACGCTATTTGCATGTACCGCCTCCTCACACTTTCCACCGTGTGATGGAGATATAATTTAGAACAGGGACTCGTAGAAATCGCTACCAGATCCCTCCATCGATTTAGTAGCCATTTTGTGCGTATTCCTGCTGGTTTAGACTGCAGTGGTGCCATCTATTTAAGCCTGGTGTGGAGGGAGGGAGAGATCTTTATTTTCTTACCGTGCGCTTGCTTGCGGCCTCCAGTGTGTGTGTGGTTCATGATTAAATCTTGCAAGCTTGGCGCTTAATTTTTGCAGCACGGGCGGAGCTAGCAACTAGGGCCGCAAAAACGTCTCCCGTGCCAGATTGTGGCACCTTTATTCCTCTCCAAACACGCCTGGAGCAAGCAAGCCGGTCAGAAAACGTAGGCGTCTTGTTAAGACCACCCGTGTGTCCGTTACAGTTAAGAGCCCTGAACGGTTTTCCTTGGTCTTAAGGGCTCCGGTGGATGTGTAAGGAAAATAGCCAGTATTTCATCCGCAGAGGGGCCTCCAGTTTAAGGTTTTATACTTCCTCACAACAGGTAGATATTTTATAAAAAATGCTGGCTGCGGATGGCGATGGCGGTTACAATGGTCCCGCTGCGAATATGGACACTTCGGAGGAAACGGGGAACGACGGAAAGGACCAAAAGAAGCAAGGGACCAGGTAGGTACATTTTTGTCTCATCCCCGGCATCATTTATTGATGACAGTCAGGAATATAGATGGGTTCCACTGCTCCCTGGTGGGGTGATGAGGGCCCATTTTGTATCTGTGGCGGCTGAATCATTATCTCGGGTCCCCCCAGACATCTGTCAGAATCCGTTATTACGCCGCATGTCGTTAACCTCACGTCCAACCGATTTTCCCGTAATTTTCGGCAGAAATCGTTGTGTGTTACCGTCAGTCAACCCTGTGGGAACGCAGCTCAACGCACACTAATGAATTACTGAAAATTGTGCTGATGAGTTGTTGTATCACTGTGTAATTTTTAGAGAATGTTTCACACACATATGTATGATCTAATATTGGATTCTACTATGCGCGATATGAAATGTTTATTTTCATCAGTAAACCTATCCCTGGTTGCTGGCATGTTCCAATAATATTTGATACCGATCTTAAGTGCATGTTTTGAGGGGAAGAATGTTTAATTTTCTCAAAATGCCACAGGTTATGGGTATGACATGCTCTGCATATATGCAGGTATGACATCTTCTATGATTTATGTTATTGTCTATATACCTACATACTACAGGGCAAGAAATATTGTCTTAATAGATATTTTGGCATTTTATGTTCCTGTGTTCCACTTTCACTCTCATCTATACCTTATGTATTGGCTGACTCAATATTTATTAATCTGATAATGTATTATGATTTAAAGAAATGGGTTTGAAAAAGAGCAAAGATTGCCCATCCCAACTTTCTAATATTATAATATTCCTATGATTGATAAACATGCATTACAAACAAAAATGCACAGATTGTTTAGATATATATATCTGTAATTATATACCATCTGTGCTATTGTTTGTTTTTATTCAGTATCATAAGATGTGTTTTTAATAGCAGCCAGCTATATTTAATCAAGAATAGGGATGATACATTTAGTATTTTTTGGGATCGCTTATTTTTGTAATTTGGACCCAAGGTTGTCTCCAATCTGCGTAGGTTGGCTTTTCAATCTTCAACGTTTGCGAGCTAATTTTCCATTTCGGTTACCGTCGTCCATCAAAAATACAATTTCCAGACCAATTTTCCAACATGTCATCTTTATCTATGTAACATATAGTTTTGATATTGAATATCATTGATGTCTTCATTCAAAAGGTATGACCTATAAAAGACATGATGTGAAAAAATGGTGCATAAATGTCTTCTTGCTGGTTGACGTCACATGTATACTGGCCTACATACATCTATACATGTATGTATATGATTATGAACCGAAGCATTGGACATCCGGTACTTTGATGCATGTATACTACTGTACATGAATCCGGCTTGCTTCGTTACAGGAAGGAAATATGTGAGTTGATATTGATAATATTTTGGAGATCACAGAATATCTTCCTCCATGGAGGTTGATGTTGCTTCTTAATTCTTCTATTTCTTAATCTTAGTTACCCTGGAACAAGCCCTACTGGAGGGGACTTACAGAACGTACTGCACCTGCGCGAAACCCGTAATGTATTGTACATAGCATTTCGGCAGAATGTCTCATATAAGGTTGTATTCGCTCATATAAGGTTAGCATTTTGACAGTAGTTTCCAAATGTTATGTCGGAAAAGATGTCCTCTGCAACAGGCAAAATTCTGATGCAACGTTGACCAAAAACCCAACGAAAAACGCGAAAATACGGGGTTCTGCGCAGGTGCAGTACATTCTGCCGATGTGCTGGTATTAATGAAGGGGGGGGTATGCAGTTATGGCAGGGCGAAGAAAAACGAAAAATATCTTGTGTTTATGAAATGGATGCTCAGTTCGACTGAGCCTCAAAGTGATATCTTGAGCACTGTAAGCTAGATGAATTACACAGAATATTCTTAATTGACTTCATATCCTTCTGTGACTTTTCTTCTGGCAGAGTATTAATTAGAAATCTCATATTGCATACTGCTGCACTTACAGAAATTACTTGGGGATGTAAAATCCTGATTTAAGTTGTCACACTTTTTTTGGTTACCAAAATTGTATTATACATTTATATTCTTCTTCAGGATAAATGCCCCATGCTCAGTACAGAAGATAGGAGTTGGAAAATCCTGATTGAACCTGTCACGCTTTTTTTGGTTACCAAAATTTTGACCTCTTTATCATACATCCATCTTCAAGATAAATGACCCATTCAAAGTCATGTGACTTCAGTACATGAATTAAAGGTGTTTAGATCTAGATGTCTGTACTACCTGGTTAGTAGGGCAGGGTGGGTGCTGATGCAGATGGCCAAACTTCCAGTCACCTCTAACCTTTTGCTAGGGTCATGTGACCCTCTGGTCATCTGCTACATGTAGTAACTCCCGACGAAGGCCATTAGTGATTCAAGAGTTCACATTTTTTTGTAGCCATGGTGCCATCCTCTTTAAGTATATACCAAAGCTCCCATACTTGCTATTTTGTGAGGCAGCCAAGCACTTAGCATGGAAGCCACAGTAACTTGATGGCACTCAGGCTAATTTTCTTGGGTTAGAACAAGCTTAGATAAAATTGTGACCATCTCATACCCACCAACCCAGATGAACTTGTTTGCCATTCGTGACCAGTATTTAGATTGGATTATAACTGTACCTATTACGGGGAGGCCATAAATGTTTTAGTACAATAGTATTGCACTCACACGAAAAAACACAGCCAGCTTTAAAATCTCATCAGTAAGTCCAGCTGACGTGTCGTTGGCAACTCTTGGCGCAGGGCACATTTTGTGAGCCTTCACGTGCTTGGCACCCGTACCCATGTTATGTCCTTAACCTCATACCCCAGCTGTACAACCTCATAACCAAATTTTGTTTCAGAAGGCTATCACAGCAGTGGCAAGGTTAAACACTAGTGGACCAAAAACTTCCTCTCCTCTTGCTATGGCACATAGATACAGTGACAAGATATGACATTTTTCATTATCATCATCAAATACTGAATGTCAATGTTAAACGTCATCTTGGCAAACCCGTAATGTATTGTGCATAGCACCTTGGCAGAACATCTCATATAAGGTCATATTTGCACATATAAGGTAAACACTGTAGTTTCCAAATGTTGCAACAGGCAAAATGCTGATGCAACGTTGACAAAAAAAAAAAAACCAAATCCGCAAAAAAATCAGGGTTTTGCACAGGAACAGTATGTTCTGCCAAGGTGCTATTTTGTTGCATCTTGACTAGTGTACCTGAAAGTTAAACACTACACCCATTACATACAAGTCTATTTTCTGGTTCTGTTACTGATCAATATTTATATATCTGACCTAGAATTGGACTCTAAAATAACTTGTGTGACATCCCAGACTTATCAATCTGCTTTGAATAGACAAGAAGATGGTGCAGCCAGTTTCTTTATTTTTATTGTTCTTTGAAAATTACAACATGTGAGTGACTGAATGAATAACTCTAGAATGCAAATGCATTATAGATAATATCTTTATACTTTATAGCTTGTCTAAGTATTGGCACCATCATGTTGCATGTTTTATTTATCGATAACAGCATTGATGTTATAAATATATGATAACCTCAAGTATCTAAAGGACCAATTCCAACAATGTAATGTTTTCAATTTTCTTTGCGAACAGGATTATACATAAAGCTGTTGATGTATTTTAATGATTTTGTTTGTATATTTTTACCTCATCAAATAGGCCTTAGCCTTACATATATTAAGGATAGGGGATCAGATTTTAGGCCCCCTTGCAGCTTCCTTTTAAACTGCACAGACATAACCGTATAGATTTGCTTTAGTCAAATTTGGAAAGTTAATTTTCATGAAAATACAAATTGTACTTAAGAGAAAACACTAGATTTGAACATTTTGAGAGAGGTACAGGATTTTGGTGGGAGGGGGGCCACCCTTGCTTCATTGCTTGGGGAGAGCCCTGGAAATTTTGGCAGACATTTGCTGTCTCTAAGTGCTTTTTCTGGGCATGTAGTCTATCTGAGTCTCCATAGCATGCCAAAAACTGGGGGGTCTTCAGGGTCTTTGGGATCTTTTATGTGCTATCTTCTGATTCCGTATAGACAAAGGCAACATAGCCGGCCTGGTTGAATTATATACCCCCATTTTTTTGGCTAATCAGAAAACAGCCGAAGACCACCAAACCCCCAGGTCTATAAGCCTGCTACAGAGGCTAGGGCACAGTACTAATACTAGTAATAGCTGACAGTTCTAAGCTGCCCTGGTATATCTAGGTCTCCTATAGCTTCAGCGTTTGCTCCAGTTTACCCTTGCGTGGCGGTGTATTGAATGGAACACGCTGTTAATGATCAAACCTGGGCTGTTAAAATTGTTCTGGCACTAGGAATTAACAAGCTGACCTTGACCTCCTGAGCTGCAAGTATTGCCAAAACTGGCAAGATGGACCTATTCTTAAAACACCAATGTGTTTATGTAATTCAAGCTGGGTTTACCCCATGTTTGTGTCTTGTCAGAGAGCCATGATAAATCCTGGTAGTCCTTACATGGTAGAGAGCACAGTACATGTACATTTAAACCATAGGCTTTTATTTTCTGCATGCATATTCATAGCCTGGGTGCCAAACCCATAGCACACTGGACACAAAGTATCTCAGTGATATGGGACTGGCAACCAGGCTAGCATATTCAGGACTACATGTAATACTTGAGAACAAGAAACAAGCCTTCAACTATCAAATATCAGAGTTATCAACCAAGAATTGAGGTGCTCAAAAACTCGTATTTCCCAAGAAGTATGGTAGAGTGGAACTCGTTGCCACCAAGCACAGTTGCAATTGGGGCATCATTACTAGCTGTAGAAAGCTTTAAACAACTCCTGCAAAGATTGAGCATAACAAGTCGTTCGGTGCGATATACATGTGTAGCTAGCTGCCGCCGCGCCGCATGCCTGCGAAGCTGAAGGGTGGTTATACCGGCTATATAGATACAGATACAGATATTATCAGGGGTCGAAATATCCTTCCGTGTGCAAGTTGGTG